CTCCTCACAGCCTCCCTTCTTCTCACGGCGCTGCGGTTCTCCTCCTCCTCCTGCTCCTGCTCCTACCACCCACAGCTCTCCTCCTCTCCATTTCTCCTCCCACCCACCCCCGACTCGCACAGTTTGCTCATGTCTGCGTAGCTCAGCGAAAATGTTGTGTGTTCAGAATGTATTTGTGCGTGTGTGTGTGTGTGTGTGAACCTCCTCATGAATATTCTGTTTTATCCGCTGGTGCTGTGACAATGACAGAGTTAATGACAGTGACAGATGTAGAGATCCCCCACCCCTCCTCCACAGCCCCTCTCTGCCTGTGTGTGTACGATTAGGCATGAACACAAGAATACATCAAATAAACTACACAGCTAATATCATAAATATCACCACTTTTCAAGGCACGGTTTCGCTGCTCCAAGAAATAAATCCCTGCAGCAACACAGCATGGTTTACAACACAGTGGTGCAGCGTACGCTTCTAAACTGAAATGATCCATCTTCCGTTGCAGGTGAGGAGGTACAGACCCTCGGCCTCCAGAGTCTGGCGACGTTGGCGGCGGCTCGAGCCTTGGAGATGGGTGGTGAGACTGTGGCGGATGTGGAGACCGACCGGCAGTGCCCCATTAAGAAGAGACTCAACCTGCGCAGGAAGTGCAGCTGGACACCTCGGCACGAGCCGGTGAGGCTTCGGCAAGCCTTCATTCTGAGCGTGCAGTCGAGCGTGAATCACCCAGGCTGAACTGTGGATCGCAGAAGTGTCGAACAAAAGAGCAGCACTTGATTTATGTTGTCAAAAACCAGAAATAAATCCCAAACAGAGCCCAGATATTCTGACATTTACACTTTTTAAACAAAGTATTTTCATTTATAGTTCATTTTTTAAACATAGAACAATAAAACAGTCCCCTTCCACACTGGATCAGTCAAAACCAAACAAACAAATTATACAGGCATTGACATGCTCTCAACAAACAATATAAATTCCGCCATGTGTCCCAGAACCTCTGCACAGAGCCCTTTAAGGTGTGGGTCTTTCCAGTTGCACAAAATTAGCCTCCTGGCCAGAAGAGAGCCAAAGGCAATCATATCCCTCTCGTATTTTCTGAAGGACGTGCCCAGAGGGACCACCCCTAACAGTGAAATAAGTGGTGATGGGTGAACAGTTTTACCACATATTCCAGAGAAAGTTTCAAAAATAGATTGTCAAAAGTGTGCAGTTTGGGACAGGTCCAGAATGTATGCAGGAGTGTAGCTGGAGGGTTTTTGCAACGATTGCATGCAGGGTCCAGATTGGCCTTGATCTTGGACAGCTTATCTTTAGACCAGTGCAGCCTGAGCACCACCTTGAATTGAATTACAGCATGTCTCACAGATTGAAGACGAGTAAATGTTCTTGATAATCCTTCTCCATATGGGTTCCTCCAAGTCTGCTTTCCATTTCAGTTTAAGGGAGTCCAAACTGGACTCATGAAGTGAGCAGTGTATACATTTTACTAAGGGCCCCCTTGGTATCACACCTGCACTCCTAAATCATAGCCACAAAATGTTTAGAGGGGACATTTACACTTTTTAATTTGAAATTTTACCTCCTTACTTCAGTCTGAGCAGCTGAACTACAAAGATGTCCCTGGATGTCATCAGATATGCAAAAGGAAATAAGAAAATTAAAATTTTCAGATATTTATCAGCTGTTTTGTAAATTAGTTTTATCCAATAATAAGTCATGACGTATAGCCAATATTTAGTTTCTTAGTTTCATTTAATTTATTTTGTTCATCCTTAGATATTTTGCTAAAACAGGGTTGACTCCAACAGTTGGTGTAACATCTGTGAGCACACAAACATGTGATGGAGATGACTCTCAGTCACTACCACACAAAATCTTTGCTCATTAGCTGTAAGACTGATTTAGAGCTATATTTTTGTTTGCTAAATATAATTGGCTGTACACACAACCCCCACCCCCCCCCAGCCGCCACCCCGCACACACACACACACACACACACACGTCACACACTGTAGCAGGCAATAATGAATACAATGAAAGAAGCATCAGAAATACTAAAATTTATGGAAATTGAAAGAACACATTTTGAAATTATTGAAATTGCTGTAAAATATAACTTTGGGTGTTTCTCATGATTTCCTGACTTTATCAGGGTTAAAATAAGTTTTTACAAGCAAGAGTTTGATTTAATGCAGAAACTGAATGTGCAGAAAAGGGCTAAACTTACCAAAATGATCTTACTTAGGTTGCACCTGTCAAAGAAGCACGTTTATTGTTCCAGTGTTGGTGCCATGTGTTTGTAATGCTTGTAAATATAGAAATATATCCATGAGAGTAGTGGCAGTTTTTTGTGTACATGAATAAATCTACATTTACGGAAGTTGTGGGTTTGATGACCATCTTCTGTGCTTGGAATCAAACCTGCAAGCTTTTGTTTTCAACACGCGGGACAAACTCTCCTCTTGCTGGTTACATATTCAGTGCCTGTTGAAGTGAAGTTTGTGCTCAGCATTTCAAATTCCTCTGCTTTGTGTGTGTGTGTGTGTGTGTCAGGTGTGCCCAGTGAAGGGCTCCATGGAGACGATGGGAGGGGAGGAGCTGTCCATGCGTGTCCAGCTGGCTGAGCTACAGCGCAGCTACAAAGAGAAACAGAGAGAGCTGGCCAAACTACAGAGGAAACACGACCACCAGTGAGCAGAGACAGCACACACACATGCACACCTCTTTATGTCTGGGATGAATTGTGGATTCCTGCACTTGTGCTTCCCCACCCCCCACCCCACCCCATATTGATGCAGTTTGACCTGTAGTCCACTTCTCTGACCGTCCTGACTGCATTTTTAATCTCATTCCCCCTCTTTTACTAGATAAATATATATTTTTTGTCTTCCTCTCTGCAGGAAAGACGAGACGTCTCGAAGCCCCGCTCGCAGGGGGCCTGGCCGCCCCCGCAAGCGCAAGTCCACCCCCGGCCCAGCTGCTGCAGAGAGCTCCAAAAGACTCAGGTCAGTGCTCTGATACTGCGTCGGTATAATCAGCGTGATTGGCAAGCCCAGCTCATTCATCCTGATTTCTGTTTGTGTTTTTCCTGAAAGGCACGGTTGATTTTCAAGAAGTTCTTCTTCAGCTGAATTGATTCAAATGCTCTATAGCTGATGATTTGCTTGATTGGGCTCTGAAAGGAGCTGCTCACACACACACGTTCACACACATAATGGGTTATGCGATGGAAGCTGTAAGATGGGTGTGATTTTTAATGAGAGAAGGTAATGGAGCTGAGGGCTTCATTAATCACCATTAATCACTTTTAATCATATTTATCACTTGTATTGATTGTGTCCTGATTCCATGTGAACCTCCAGCACATTTTAATGCAGCTGGACAAAGTCCTGATGTACAGTTATTACAGTGATAAATGACTCAACACTTCCCCCCACATGCCTCAACACACAACCATGCGTTATTTATTTAGCACCTTAGACATGCAAACTTTTAGCCTGACACAAACCACACACACACACACACACACACACGCTCACAGTGATAAATGTGTTTTCTCATGATGACCCACCTCTGTTAGCGTGTGCACCCCTCGCCTTGATAAAATGATTAGAGAAACTCAAGGTTTGTCACGGTGTCCATGATTAAAAGGAGCTGATGAAAATGACAATGAAAGGCTTTCGTTGTAATGTGATGGCACACACACACACACACACACACACACACACACACACACACACACACTGAATAGTTGTTTAATTAGTCGAGCTGGTTTTTACGTGCCTGAGCAACATTTCTGTTGTTATTAACATGCAACGCTTGATATGTTTACTTTTTCATCTTCTTCTGAGGGTTGGGGGCGAAATACTGCAGTAAAAACATGACAAATGAAGAGAGACAAGTATCTTCTAAATTCAAGGGATTGTTTCTCCTGATGGACGCATGGGCAGCGTGTGGCAAAAAATAACTTTGACTTATTTTTGGCAAGGCTTTTTCATCAATTCAATCATTCAGTAACTCAAAAATAGTTTTTTTTTTATTCAGTCAGCCACAGGATTATTGAAATTATAGTTTAACAATGGAAAAGGCAGTTACCTTGAGATATTAAACTTCATTACAAAACTTAAAGGTTGTAATCATAATGTAAAACACAAATAAATATAAACAACACTCTTGCCTTAAATGCACTCATGTTGTTGCAGTCCTGATTTTGGATCAGTCCTCATAACCATTGCATTAGTTTGCCTGTTATTATCACACTCACACCATTTTGGCCATTTGAAATCCTTCTTGTTTCCACATGGACTCTTAAGGAACTGTGATTGGACCGTGTATAAACACATGTGGGTTAAATTAAATGCTCATCCCAAACTATTAAAACTACATTTGCATTGATGAAGTAGAAGCTATTTGACTGTCATCATGGCTAAGAAGCGTTCTTTGAACGTGTGCAGCACAAAGCAGGCCGATTTGTCAGGTCTTGGTTCCCATAACTCCTTCTGAATGTTTGTAGCGCTATTTAAAAGACCCAACTAGTGTTTGATGGTAAAATGTATAAGTGACGTAGCCACACTGACCTTTGGCTGAGTGCTGTGCCATCAGTGTGAAAGCAAACACATAGGTCCTTATAATTACGTCATAGTTGGCTCAACAGTCCTTATAACCCCCAGAGAGTCCTTATAATTAGTCTGAAAGTACCTATAGTTAACATCTGCTTGTTTTGTCACCCGTGAAGTGATTGTCAGGTTTTATACAAATTACATATAGATTTTTAGCATGAGAAAATGTAGCAAGGAGTGTTTTTAATCCAGCTTGAAGGGATAGTTCAGATTTATGAGTAGCTAACTTACTTTATATCCCTCCTGCTGCCCTTGGGTCAAAATGACCCACAAAGCCTCCAGCTTAAAACTGGGGACTTATGGGTCGTTCTGACCCAAGAGCAGCAGGAGGGTTAGGTAAACAACACTCAGATCAAAAACCCGAGAGAAATTATATTTGGAGGAGTCAAGCTAAGAGCTAGTCAGATGGGTGGATTTCAGAGCAGAGATTACTCACCTGAAAATACTCTAACCTCTAAAATTTTGTAAAAGTTTGCTCAAACATATTTTCTAATCACCCGTTTTGCATCATAGAGTCATTTACATAGCCATCTGTAGTTATTAACGCTGAAAACTGGATGTGTTGGAACACTTTTTATTGCGGTAAAAAATGCACCACAAAATGCACCACACAGTGAAAGAAAGCCCTTTGATGCAAAAAATAATGTGGGGTTAAAATATATGAAACATCGTTCACTTACATTTTGGAGGAATGGCAGAAATCCACTCATGATTAGACTAATGGAAAACCTTTGTATTCAAACTGTCAATGCTTCTATCCCTGTCTCTTGCAGGTACGCTACTGAACAATAAAGTAAGACGTCCACCACATATTATAGTAAATCAAGGCCTGGCTTGACGTTAGCATTCCGGTTTGTTGCAAATGTTTTTCCCGCAAGTCAGTAAACCTCTAACATATCAAATCAAAAATGGAAAAAGACTTTGTCTAAACTTTTACCACAAAAAGAACCAATACCATTAGCAATACAGTAGCCCCTCATTTATCATGGGGGATCCGTACCCTGATAAGTGAAAAACTGCGAAGTAGGAATAGTAGTACAAGTAGTAAATAGTAGTTTATCTGAGTATATATATATATATATATATATATATATATATATATTTCAAGGTGTTTTATACCCTTCCCACACTCTTGCAATATTCTAAACAATGTTTCAAAAACACTAAAATAACACTGAATGTCATGATTCATCTCCGTGCCTCCTCTGCTCTTTGTCACCTGCAAGCACTCTTGGCCACGCCCACTTCTCCGTTCAGCACAGTGAACAGCTGATCAGCTGCAGCAGGAAGTTTATCCTGCAGTGTGGGCTGCACAATGGTGCAGCAGGTGCTAAATCATTTAAAATAATTTATTTTAAATAAAAATTCCATGCCGATCGTTCGACTCATCCATCATTCAGCCAGTTGGGTGTCATGTCCACTCTTATTCTGAAAAACCACAATAGAGCAAGGCCACGATAAACAAACTGTGAAGTAGCGAGGGACTACTGTAATGTCTTTTTAGCTGAAAAAGGAGTCCAAGACCAAAAGTATGAAGTACATTCATGCTAACTTACAGTCAGAACTGTCTCTCCACACCCGGGAAGAGAAATGCTGAGAGCCAAATCTCGCCTCTATGGGAATATAGGATTCACCTGCTTCAGACGCCAGCTGCTAACAGAGAATGGGCATACGAGTGTGTGTGTGTGCGTGTGTGTAGTTGCCTGTGGTGCAAGTCCATGCAGTGAAGGAAGGACAGAGGAAAAAAGAGAGGGAAGGAGTAGTGTTCAATAGAGGTTAGTGTTTATTGATCGAGCCCCGAAGCTCCGGTCAACGGACAGACTCCCTCGAGACTGCTTCATCTTTCTCTCCCCTCACCCCTCTCCCCCAAGCTGCTTCCCTCCTCTTGCTGTCTCCACCCTCCATAGTCCAGCATCCTCTTCTTCACACCACATAATTCTTGCCCTTTTACGTGATGAGTCAGATGGGTTTCATATTCACACGGCTGCTGAATATTTCTGTGTTTGCCGTCAAACTGCGCAGAGAATCTTTAAAACTTGCCTCTTTGTACCTCAGCAACGACATGAGACAATGAGAGAGGGAGGACTGTGAAACAATGAATGAACCAACCAGAGATAGGAGTGAACAGGAATGAAATAAGAGCAAAGAGGGGTGTGTGGCAGCCATTATTACTCATGAGAGAGAAGAAGAGCATGATCAGGTGGAGTTTGATATGTTTATGTATAACAAAAGTTTAGTTCTCAAATCTCCACGTTTTGTTTTTTCTTCCCAGGACTGGACTGAATTTACTGGAGAAAAAAAGCAGGAGTGCACTGTCCAATCACAACTTCAGCAGCCTCAGCGTAGCACAGGTCCGTTTTCCTTCGTCCACTCAAATAAACTGAGCTAGATGAATCGGGCAGTTCTTATGTGCATGTGCCAACCAGAACAGTAAATGTTTGCATCAACAGTATATTCAAAAGTACTTACTGCTCTGTATGTATGCACAGATGACTCATTGACTTTAATAATTGCTCACGGTTGTGAAAAACGTCTGTACAATAAAAATCAAGTACACAGGAGCACCAGCATTTAATCTTTAGCGTAGCAGTTCATATCCAAGCTTGCTACCAATTCCGATTTGTGGGAAGTGGTCCAAGTTGGCCCATGCGCATAAGCACTGCACGATTCATTTCTTTCTTTCTGCAATTTCTTCAATTACCACAAAGAATGGAGTCAGCAATGGGCAATTTGTTCATAGATGAAAGGTCACTGTAAGCACAATGGTCGTCCCAGCGTCCTGAGCTCCAGGTTGGCCAGACGGGCGACCCAACTAAAGCAGAAGGCTGTAGCCCAACGTGACGCACCGTCAGCAGGCATGTTGCACAGCAGTGAGGAAGACCCCTTCAAAAGCAGACAAGAGGAAAAAAGTGAGGACAGGGGAAACTCAGAAATTTGCCATCTAACATGTAGCATCCCAAAACTGACCAGCACCTTTGTTGTTAACTCATCAGGCTTGCAGCAGGACCAGGCAGACACTCAGACTGTGAAGAGGAAGAGAGGTCGAAAGCCCAAAGTACTGATGGGTCTCAACTCTAACAGAGATCTTCACAAGGACAGCCGAGACTCTGACAAACACAAAAGACGAGAGGAGAAGAGCTGCAGTGAGACTTCGGAGCATGGTGAGCCGCAACTTGGGTCAGACATATGGCTTTTCCAGTCATGTAATCTGGTTTATCTCAGTGCTAAATATCTTTAAATGGTTGAAATAAATAATAGATGAGAAAACTGGAAAACTATTCTTGCAAATAAAAGGTTTTTAACAAAACCTCCGTAGCTAGGCAGGCTTCATGGGTAGTTAATGGGCTTTGCTAATTTGCCTGAGGGGTTGATAAACATTGACCATTCAGTGCGAGATTTCGCTCTCAGAGTGCCAATTGTGTGCGCTTGCACGCGCACGTGAAACATCTGAGAGTGAGATGTCTGCCGTCATCAGGGGCCTCTTCTCACAGCTCGTCTGTCACAGTGTTAAAACCGTTAACGACTTGCCACAGGCACGCAGCACGGACGCCCCTGTACCCCCATAGGCCCACTGTAATGTGAGCCTGCACCAGACCCATCCAGAATGTCACACCACAATACTTTTCCACATCCCCCACCCACGTGAAAGTGTCCTCAGACAAGCTTGCTAGTTGACAGAACTGTTAAACTCATCCTGATTTTTACAAAACCACGAGAACTTCATCATAACTCTGCAGTGTGGCCTACCCTATGGTCTTGGCGGCCTGGATATGTAGCTGTGGAATATGTGTCTGTGCATCTAAAGCAAAGTGTTGACGACAATGTCATGTAAGTGACAAGAAGTGTCAACACCCAACACAAGCCCCCGAGTCAGCAGCACACAGCTGCCAATAAGTGCCTGTTTGTGTGTGCATGTAAAGCTGAACATGATCGTCAACATTTGCTTAAGAAATAGACTCAGCATGACCATGAAGCCATTAATGTTGGTTTGCTCCATGTGGGAAAATGTGCCAAAAAAAGTCTTACTTTTTAAAATCCCCAGGAAAATTATCTTTCTTGGTTGCTGTGATCGTGCAATTTTAGCCACTGGCTTCAAAGGGAGCTTGAAAGCTTTGCAGCCAACACATCTCATCAAGTGAGCCGCTGGCTGTTAACAGTGTTTACATGTAAATCACTTGAAGCAATCTGACGGATCACACTGATGTCTGGATTTCACAGAGGAGGAGGTTGGCAGCTACGATAGTGACGATGGAACAGGTGACATCAAGATTAGCTCATCCTCTAAAGAAGCATCTGCAAACCCTGCTGGGACTTTGTCCTTTTCATCTCAGTCTTCCAAGCTCCAAGCAAACCAAAAAGTCAAGACTAAGAGACCAGAACCTCTTGGTGAGAAGTTTTATGTTTTTCAGTTTGCCTCGACTTTATAAATAACCAAAGCTTTGGTAATTTTATTACCCTTCTTTATAACTGTTGTTAAAAGACTGCATTATTTATTGTTTTAGAACTTCAGTATTATTCTCTATGTTCTTGTATTGCATGATATTCATTTTAATTTTTGTATCACTTCTTTAAAACCATTAATCCCATATTATAATTTTTGCAACATACCATATCTTTAATTTGCACACTGTACTTTCTATACCTCCAGGGCAGGGAAGCTTGGCCTGCATCGAGCAGAGGAGAGCACCCAAGAGGCCAAACCACACCAACATGGAAAGGGGACATCCGGACCACCCAGGGGCCAACAGAGCGTCCATGCCCGGCTGGGGAATTTTACCAGTGGGCTGCAAGTTTGGGGACAGACATGGAAACCACCGAGCTTTGACAGAAGAAAAGCGAATAAGCAAGGACGGTGAAAGGAGGATCTCTACAGGACAGGGCCTCAGAGGAAAGGTAAGACAAAGGCTAAATCCCATTCCTTAGATTTACCCCTATCATTTGGCTTTTATTTTGATGTCACAAGGGCTAGTGGTTAAAAAATGTCACTACAAAATGGGACACCCTTTCAAGAAATGCTACAATGTCAAAAGTTGCTGTATGTTTGTAACTAATTCTGCAGCTTGCAACACTATTTTTATTCTTGTTAAAGAAGACCAAATGCCACATCAAATGTACTACATCGAAAACAACCAAATGAGATATTACAACGGTTATTGTTACAATTACCATATTTTTCAGACTATAAGGCACACCAGATTATAAGACGCATTAAGCCAAACTAAACAGTCAGATAAGTCAAACTTTATTCAACTCATTCACAGTAACTCTCAACATTGTTCAGTTGTACCACATAAAACCAGTTCAAGGTCAGTAAGCACAACCAGAATTAATACATAAGATGCACTGGATTATAAGGCTCACTGTCGATTTTTGAGAAAATTAAAGGATTTTAAGTGCGCCTTACAGTCCAAAAAATACAGTAAGTATTTTTGATGGAGAAGGCGAATGCTATTTTTATACATGTTGAAGGAAGATTGAAAATGACACAAAACGTAATATATCAAAATACATTAAACTAGACATTGTGGTTGCTGTAAAAATAAAACATCATAACAGAGAAATTGATATTGCCCATACAGTGGTATAACATACTAATATTTGAAACTCGAACACATCATAAATTGTTGCAGTTGGACAAAACATATATTTTTAGCTTTTTGTGAAATTATTATTATTTTTTGAATAAATAAACTGTTCGGTCAGAATTTGTATTTTGTCTGTATAATTGAACATGTAATAAAAAGGTTATATTTTATAGAAACATTGATTTTACTCTAAAGAAAATATTGTACCAGCTTTGTATTGAAAAATGAATGCAGCTTTTTTATAGCACCTTGCTTAATAATAATGAAGTTGAACCACAGGCTGATGTGAAGGTGCACCCTTGAAACTTTGTTCTGTTTTTCTTCCTTTTGCACATTTTGGTTAGAAAGATAAGCAAGAAAAATATTTTACCAGAAGGACATCATGCGTTAAAGCCTTAGGCACCATAAACACTCCTCAAGGGTTAAACATAAACTTCAAAAAAGCAGAATCTAGAAGGATAATGGGAGATAAGACTGCTGCTGATTGAAGTTTTGTGAAAAGGTTACATACTGATATCATAAATATTACTGCTGTCAAAAAGGTGTGAGGATGGTAAATTGCATTACTTTTGAAAATTGATAACGAGCAAACACAGGCATGCGTTTTCTTGTGTGTTACATCGTTGACAGTGGCAGAGGTTATGATCACACAGACTGTAGGAAAAAAAAAAACGTGACTCATACAAGGTTACTCCCTTCGGCCTTCTGTTGAATATCAATAAACACTGAAAAGAAAGAAGCTCACAGGAATTTTGAAAAGTGAAATGTTTAAAAGAAAGCCACACCCTGCCAGGAAGCTTGAGCAAATTAACAGTGACAGCACCTTCCAATGACTTCTATTCCTTCTTTATGAGGAGATGCTTAACATCAGCAGTGAATTCCTCACTTTGTCAAGTGAAGGAGTGTGTTTGTATGAAAGCTGGTCGTTTTACGCAGATGACAGACCGCTTTATCTGTTCAAGCAGCCAGAGGCAAGATACCAAGGATTACTTAAATGTGAAAAGCCCCGAGGTTGTTATTATCATTGAGTCATCATGAGGGGAATGTCCAAAACGCATAACTGCAAACCAAACAGAGGAATATTAAAATGTATCATTGGAAAATAACAACTACACACCCATATCACACACACACGCACACACCGGTACTAACGTGAAATACCATCCCTGCCCTCTGGTATTGAAACTTCTGTCACTAAAATATATGGTGCTGTGATATGGAAAACTCCAACACACACACTTTGCTTCTCCACGTTGACTATCGTGGACTTTTCTGTGGCAAAACCAAGTGCAAGCAGGAACCTGTTGAGTGAGCTAGCTTTCCATCATCACTCATTTGTCAACTTTAGATAGACCAGCTTAAACCAGTCTGGAAATGGTGTGTGTGTGAGAATGTCCACCTGAAATGAAGCATCCTCTTGAGCAATAAACTGAAATCTAGTCTGCTCAGGTGCTGTGGTTATTACTGACTGTGACCTCAAACCTTTAAGTAAAAAAAAAACAAAAAAACCCTGCTACAGGCCTAATTGAAGCATCGTATTACGGCTGGTGTTGGTGCCAGCGGCAGCATCTCACTGATGCGTTCACCACATTAGTCAAATCAGACGCAGACATGCTCGATTCGCCGCCAGCAGCTCCCGTTTCTGTTGATTCCTCTGCGGATTCAGTGAAGCCATATCTGCTTTCCGCCTGCTGATGTCACTTCCTGTTTTCCCATCAGGATAAGGGCCACGCTGTGAGCCGACTCCTGCAGAGCTTTGCGGCTGATGACGGCTTTCGTTTGGATGAAGAGAGCAGTTTTTCTGAGGGGGAGGATGAGGAGGAGGAGGAGGGGGAGGAAGAAGGAGACGAGGAAGGGGAGAAGGAAAAGTCATCCCACCTTCCTCCTAACATGCCTTCCAGAATACCTGGTGAGCTTAAACGCATGCAAGTCTGAAACTGTTCCTCTCTCACAGATGTTCCTGCCTTTTACTTTACAACTGCACAACACTGCCAGAACTCATGCTCATGTTGTTATTTTCTTCTCCAGCCAACTTTACATCTCACACTTCCTCCGTAGCTCTGCCAAACTGTGTGCTGAGTAAAGAGATGTTGGTAGATGGGCTGAAGATCCTGATCTCCAAAGAGGATGAGCTGCTCTATGCTGCATGTGTTCAAAGTCTGGACCTGCCTGACATGTAGGACCCCACTCTCCCATATTTCCTTCACAGACACAAAAACCTATATAGGAAACCAGTATAGGAATTATTAACCAGTATAGGAATTATTTACTATGAATCGTTTGACAGATTGCCTTCTTTACTGAAGGGCACAGCAAATGAAGCCATTTTGGACAACTTAGTAAACATTTTTAATTAACAAGCTCTGAAGTACCATATACCATATTTTCCGTCGTACACGTTGCACTGCCCTATAAGTCGCATCAGTCCATATTTGTCCAATAAAGTGGAAAAAACTCCATAAATACAGTATGTCGCTTCGCCGTATAGGTCGCATTTATTATGTGTCGCCGCTGACAACCCAGAAATGTGGGTCAGTGTTGTGCCAAAAATTGATGGGCTGCCAAATGGTGGATGCGGGAGCATGCACGGGAGGACTATAACAAGAATTTAACAAGATTAACACTTAAAAACAATTATTTGTTTGCTCGAAATTATAGCAAATGTGTGTCTCAGTCTATCCTTTGCCTAATAAATGCACTTTGACGGTCAAAGCAGCTGAATTTCAAAAATAGTTTTGCTGCTTCTGTGCTCCTGGGAGGAAAAAAGAGGAGGAACGCGGCTCGTCTATTCAAAATTTCACAAGAAAAGCACCTAGACAATTATGTGTTTGTTGAGATTATAGCAACGGTGTGTCTCAATTTAACTTTTACTTAAAAAATGCAATTTAATGGTCAAATTAGCTGCATTTCGCCGTGGCGGTGCAGCTGGTTTGATGGTCGTTCCAAGCAGCGAGCAGAACGAAGGTGGGGAGACTGTGGCAAGCCGCTTATATCATTAAAAGCTGGCGAAGATTCTCAGTCATCCAGGACATGGTAAATTCAAAAAGTTCAAGAAAAAAAAACAATAAAGTATAAAGTGTATTAAATAAAGTCCAGTTGTTTTTATCTTGAACTTTTTTGAATTTGTCATTATAGCCACGTTTTCCTGTTACATGATACAACGGCATGCCATACATGCATACATTTTGTTTTTTTAACAGTGCCTGTAACACGGCTGGTAAAAAAAAAAAATACAGCAGCCTACCAGGAATTCATTGATCGCTATCTTCATCGTCCTCCTGTGCACTAAAACCACTAAAGTCGTCTTCTTCGGTGTCAGAATTGAACAGCCTCAGAAAAACTTTATCACACACGTCCTCAGTTTTTCTTTCATTGTCGCTCTCAACGTCACTTTTGTCTGGAGACAAACTCGCAATTTGATTTGATTTACGATTCACACTTATTTTGAGTGGCTGCAAAATACTTAGTTGTAGCCCCACAAACTTTGTTTCCCCCTTCCTGGGGCCGCAACGGGGAGTGGGGGAGAGTGGATCAGTTAAACCAAGTTTCATTCTAATGTGACCTGTTTGGTACTTTCATTGTTCAGATTTATTAATTTTTTACCTTTATTTATAGTAGTCTCATTGAGTCATGAGGACCAACCCCCCAAGAGAGACGTGTATTAGGCAGCTATGTGAGCGCCCAGGTGTGACAAGGCTAAATATTTTGGCAGCATGAAGCTCGTTAGCCCATCCAAAAAAATATATAATTTTTTTTTAATCAGTAAATTAGCCGCAGCATTGTATAAGCCACGGTGTTCAGTGTGTGAAAAAAGTTGCAGCTTATAGTCCAGAAATTACGGTATATACTATTTTGAGGATGGAGCCCAGGAATGTAAGGTAAAATGTAACAACAAACTTGTGTTATTAACACGAGATGAAATTTAGAATAAGTTAGGTATTGAGTAATATTTGAGAAGTGTAGAGGACTTCAGCAGACAAATTATCAACCAGCAGGTAAAAAAAGAAAGGGCTCATGACACAACTCTTTCCATCCTAAAAAAATAGCCAACAGAATCTGCTAAAAGATGTTTTTATTACCAGGTAAATAATGAATAAAATGAGTGATTTGTGTGAGTTGTACAAATGTATCCATGTTTATCTTCTCAGATTCAGTGTTGTCATTGAAGGGGAACGAGGGAATCGCCCCAGGATCTACTCGTTGGAGCAGCTACTACAAGAAGCTGTAAGTTGGATTCTAACAGTTATTTTGTATTCTGCACTTTTTTTGTTGCTTTATGTTTATTTGTAAAATTTGGGACCTTTTTGCTCCAGGTGTTGGATGTCCGACCGCAGACTGAAGCCATCCTGACTGCAGGAACGAGAGTGTGTGCCTACTGGAGTGAGCGGTCTCGCTGTCTTTACCCTGGCTACGTCCAGCGTGGTGAGCTAAATGTTTAACAACTTTTCCCTGCACTGACACACCGCTTATTTCCCAGATACTCATGATTCCTGTGTTGCACCTTAGGTAGCCCAGGTGAAGAGGAAAAGGAGGGTGGTGTGATGGTGGAGTTTGATGATGGAGACAGAGGAAGAATCTCTCTTGTGAACATCAGACTTTTGCCTCCTGGGTACCAAATTCATTGTGAGTAAGGCTTTGTAAAGATTCACAGAACAACAGTACATGTATTTAACTGAACCATCATGGTATGGACGTTCGGCACAAGTACAATGAAGTACACAACAAATACATTAGTCACAGGTGATCACCACTCATATGTAAAAGCGGGTACTCTTTTTATGTAGCTATATTTTGCTAATGGCCACAACAGAAAAGAAGTAGAGGAAGATACTATTAAAAGCACTCTACTTCAAAGCAAAGCAAGAATGTCAGGTTCAGAATAACACAGAGAAGTCTAAAGACCTTCCTTTTTGTTTCAAATCATCTGTGTGATAAATGTTTCCTGGTCATGATCTGTTGCTGCAGTGGAGAGAGATGAAAAGTACTGTATGGCAAACAGTTAAATTATATAATGTGCACTTTGACCTGTCTAATTGTAATAATAATACGCCTAATATAAACTTTTTTACACTAACGCTGAGAAGATTTTAGCCTTTTTATTTTATTTATTTTGCGTTTTAACATTATAAGATGTTATTTAATCCTGAATTGCCTTTTACTTATCAAGTCCAGTTCAAATTCTTTGAAACAACACACTGTTGTTGTTCTTGACCCTTAAGGGAGATACTTTTTTGGTACTCATCCAATTTCTTTGAATAATGGACTATAGGATAGAGTTGCATTCGGGCCCAAATAATCCGACACGACCCGGTCCCAGCCCGTAGCCATCATTTCTGAACCCCACTCGACTCTACGAATTAGCAGTAATTACAAGTACAAACCCGACCCCCTCCCCCGACATTAATTAAGCTTTCATTGCTTAAATATGTAGTTATTAACGATCGGCGGATGCGTGCGGCTGAGTAAAGGGAGCAGAAGATCAGAGCTGAGGGGGTCTTTGTCCTTTCATGGCCGTCAAAGCGCATTAAATCCCTGCTTCTGTCTGCATTCTGCATTATTCGGACACGGGCCCTGCTCTGACATGTCTGCGAGGATATTTTGTGAAGTCACTTATTTGTGTCATTGGCCGTGTGTGTTCGCTGAGTGCAGCGGCTGCATGAACGTCCATTTGGGCTGATGGATCGCTGGCAGTAGTCAATCTGAAGCTTAATTGAACTTTTTTACCTCTTTCAAGGCCAGTCAGCACGTGGTCAAATGGCCGCGTTTGGTTAGTGTTGGTATGGCAAGCCATGTTGCCATAAAATTGGATTGTCAGCTGCACACATCCGCTGACACAATCAAAAGCCCGACACCGACCCGCACCTTAAGCACATTATTATGGCCTGGCCATAATCTGGGTCGGCCGGGGCTGGACTCCAGGTTCGGGTTAGAAATGACAACTCTACTATAGGACATGGTTCACTAATCAAATGGGAAAAAAATCAGTAAAACGTGACTTTTTATATTTTATTTGAAAGTGAAGACACCAAGGTACATACCAGACTGTAACCTAGCGTACTGTTACACTCCAACAAATGAATTAAATAATTGAAACACCTATACAAAATAATTTTTTTACATTAGGTGCCGAACCTTCTCCAGCTCTGCTGATCTCTCCCGGTCGTCGGGGTCGACGAAGCTCTACTGTGGAGAAGAAAGAAACACCTACAGAGAAACCAGCCAACGAGGAAGCAGGAGGGAAGCCCCAGGAAAAAAGGCCAGGTACTGAGAAGGGAATGTTTGTAGCAAATGTAGCTGTAAATGATAAAAAACAAAACTGTAAGAATGAACTATTCGGTATGCATTTAAAGGCAGTTTGACCATTAATGAGTAAAGAGCAACAAACTAGTGATTCTAACATCAACTTACATTTGGTGGTAACAGGTATGACAATGTTTATGATATTTACTTGTCCTCTCCGTTCACATGACTCAGACTATTTGCATCCCATACTTTAAAGCCAATGTGTTGGTATGCTCAAATAAAATTGTAAAGTCAAGAGCAACTGCTGCAAAGATACAGCTATAATCCACCATTTCTTATGTTGCACTAGGCTTGAGAACCAGCCTTTGGAACTATTTTAATGGCAAAGCAGCCATGACGTATTCTGAACAGAACCAAACTTCATTGACAGAACATTTTCAGGAGCTCATTAGGCAGATTTGTAGATTTCAATATGTACGAAACATTAGGTACATTCTAACCAGCACATGATTTTTGACAAATACTGGTTTACCTCCAACATACATTTGTACGTATGGATGTCAAGCCGCCAGGCTTACCCTAGAACAAGATCTAATTTACAGTCTGTCTGTCAAGTAGATGCCTTCAAACCACAGGTGAAGATTGAGCAGGTATATGAACTGAAAGACTCGTAAATTATATGCTTTGTTTGCCACATTTTATTGACCTTTTTAAAAAAAAAAACATTAATCATAGTTTTATGGAGTCTCATACACTTGCTTTGTGAAGTTGTAGGCAATTTACATTTAACTCATCCTTAAGTCAAAGTGACAATAAACTTGTGTAGTGAGACGGGTGTAACAGGTTTGTTGTTTTCTGAGTAATGGGTATGTCGAAACCAGATGAAGATCAAAGAGGTAAAGATTAGGTTTCACCCAAGTTCTTAGTTTCATGAATAATCAGAATTTGCTTTTATGTCCGTTAAGATTCTTTTAATGATAACTCCTGTTTTTTGTGTTTTTTTTATTTATTTTTTATAGTTGGTAGACCGAAGAAAATCTATTCCATGCCAAAGACAACTAGCACTTCAACTTCAGTAACAGAAACTGTAACAAAAGGCAACACTTCTTTAATGAACTGGTCCATGCCCAGGAAGAGACCACCAGTTGACTTCTTCCTCTTCAATGGGACATCTCGCAAGGCTCAAAAGAAAATAAGAGAGCGGGACTTTGGTTTGTTTCATCGGCCTGCCTTGCACTCTCTGGCACCGCCAACCCCTATTAAAAGCATTTTCGGCACTCCTTTTGAGGTTGACTCATTCAGTAGCATTGCTAATGGCTACTCTACCTTTGGATATGGTGGAACCTCTGGAACAGGTAGACCAGTTACCATGGCTTCCATGGGGCTCCAGGACTCATCTTGTTCCTCATCTGTCACCATGGCTACGGCAGCTGGAGGCCGTAAGCCTGTGAGTGAGCGTGACAGGAAGCACTTCTTAGTGAAGCTGGACCACGAAGGAGTGACTTCTCCCAAAACAAAAAATGGCAAAGCTTTACTACGACTTGGAGGTTCTGGAGGGAGAGGAGTAAAAAGCCATGCCTCTGCAGCGGCACCACTACGATACGTCCACCCTTCACTGATGGTCAAAGCTGCCACAAAGGAAGGAGGAGACAGGGACAGCGTTCAGTCTGACGCACTTCTAAAAGGCGTTCCATCCTTGAGAAAGGATGTTATTCCTGCTAGTCATGGAGTAAAAGGTGGGGATTACAGTATAGACTACCCCAGTGATTGCCCTAGCTCTTACTCTGAGCTGGAAGAGGACGATGAAGATGATGGCCAAGAAGCTGAAGCACGAAGAAGAAGAGTAGCTGTCTCATCCCATCGTGGTGGACGATTTCTATCCCGTCCTTCCATCTGCTTTTCCTCATCATCCTCTTCCTCTTCCTCCTCTGGCTCCATTTCATCCTCATCCCTCTGTTCCTCAGACAATGACTCTTCTTACTCCTCTGATGAAGAGTCTTCATCTGTGCTGTTGCGAAGAGCACTTCTCCAGCAGGACAAACAGAAAAACAAGTCGAGTATGAACTCTGACATCAGGAGCCCTGACCCCACTACCTCTACTTCAGTTCCAGCTAACGAGTATGCGACCAAAGCTGGCATAGCCATGGGAGGGTCAAAGGTGAGGACAGACAGAGCCGAAGACAGGAAGGAGTACATCTGTAAAGGATCTCTGGTGGCTAACAGCAGTGCAGCTAAGACGCAGCTGAAAAGGAAAGAAAGTATTTCTTACAATCACCATCAAAGCCAAAGCTGTCCTGTGGGCCAGCAGCAGAAACCCGCCTCCAAGGACCCAGCAATGACTAAAAAACAACGAATGTCTTCACCTGAATCTCTTCCCAAAATGACCTCCCTGCTGCCTGGACGTCATCTCTGGAAATGGTCTGGCAACCCTACACAGGTAGGACACTTTGGGTTGTATTTTGCCATTTTCTGTGTGTTTAATTTTAAGAGATGTTCATTGGACAGTTTATGTTAAAGTTATGAGTTGGTCTTGCAGTGTTGCTCCTTCATGATAGACATTAATGATGGAATGGAATGATGAAATGCTTGGTCTCCTCACTCTTTGGTGCACACTGACAACCAAGTTTACTCTCTGGGTTCATGTTTGAACTCATCTTGATTATTAAATCAGAAAACTGAGGGAAGAAAAACAAAAGTTTGAACAAGTGCCACCACTTTTTATTATTATTTCATATTTACAATTTTTAGGTTTCACAAATGACAGCTTACAACAAAACTGACATCACAGAATCATTCGTAGAAAATTCTGTTGTTTTGGCCAGCCAAGCAAATTTAGCTGAATACAGCACCTCAGGCTGAGGAAGTCTCTTGGATGAGAGACGAAACGTTTCTACATTTTTTTGCTTTGTTTTTTGTGTTTATGTTTTCTTGTTTTTTGAATGTCGAGAGGACCAGATTGAACTTTTTTGGATTTTTCTACCTGGATTATTGAGCACGTATCAGGATACAAGCAAATTTACCGTATTTTTCGCCCTATAAATTACTTTTTTTTTTTTTGCATAATTTGCAAGCCCTGCGACTTATATGCCAAAGCAAATTATTTATGGATTTTTTCCCCATATTTATAAACCAATTTTTGGCTGAGATGACTTTTCATTCATTCTGACTAAAAATATTGAACATTACCATTTTCTGCCGCTAGATGGCACTCAAGTAGTGTGGCATGCCATTGTGTCATGTAATAGGCAAAAGTGGCTATTAATGACATAATCGGCTTGCCATAGTTTGCCACCATCATTTTGCTCACATGGAGCAACCGTCAAATTAGCTTCATTTTGTTGCGCTGCCCCAGCAAAATGCAACTAATTTGACCATTAAGTCCTTTTATTAAGTAAAACACCTGGGTGTATCCCAGGTGCGAGGCGTTAAATGCAGAGAGCCAATTTCGTCTTTGTATGGAACATACAATGATCAATGATGACAGCACATAGTACTTTATTATTTATTATTATTAAAAGTTCAACTGAGACATCTTTGCTATAATGTTGAGCAAGCAAATAATTGTTTTAGGTGTTTATCTTGTTAAATTTCGAAGAAATGCGCAGTGACTTGTCCCTTTGCGCGTTCCTACTTCCGTGTATCGGCCTTTGAAATACAACTAATTTGACTATCAAAGTGCATTTATTAAGCAAAAGTTAGACTTAGACACACTTTTACTATAAATTCGAAAAAATACGGTAACAAAATCTGGGTCAATGGCCTTTTCAAAAATGTTTGTCAGAAAAATTAAATTGTAAAAAACTTTCACACAAATAAATATCTGCCCTAAAATAATCACGTCTGACCCTCACCAAAGCAAGCAACTTTGCATATTTATTCTCAAAAAGCAGTTTTGAATTAGAAATGTTATAAAAAAAAATCTTGGATTATACAAATTGCCAAATGGTCTACAACCATGGTTAAATGCTAAAATAACCCAAGAAGTGAAATAACCTCCTTATACTGAATGAATCAACTATCCATCCATCCATTATCTGTACCCGCTTCTTCCTTTTTGGGTCGTGGGGGTTGATGAATAAACTAAAATGTTTTTTTGTTTGTTTTTTTGGCAGAGGAGAGGTCTGAAGGGTAAAGCTCGTAAACTTTTCTACAAGGCCATCGTGCGGGGCAAGGAGATGGTGCGTGTTGGTGACTGTGCTGTGTTCCTGTCACCTGGGCGGCCCCAGCTGCCCTATGTGGGCAGAGTGGAGAGCCTCTGGGAGTCATGGAGCTCCAGCATGGTGGTCAGGGTCAAGTGGTTTTACCACCCGGAGGAGACTCGTTTAGGGAAGAGACACCATGATGGCAAGGTATGGTCAGGAAGTGCTTGTATTGATCTTCCAAATACAGATCAGGAAAGTCAGTCTAAGAGGCTTCTGGGTTTTAAAAAAAATCCACACTGCATAGGAAATGATGCATTTTACATTGCTACTAACAGTTTAATGGGAAAGAATGGAAATTCTGACACTTTGAGAAACCTTTAATTTGCCAAATATACTTCTATCCAACAGCATTCTGTTTTCCACATTTGTAGATGAATTATAAATGGAGTGTTTTGATTTTTGAACATGGTTACCACATTTCTCTCCATCTTTGTCCCTTAGAATGCCTTGTACCAGTCGAGCCACGAGGATGAGAACGACGTGCAGACCATCTCCCATCGCTGTCAGGTGGTCAGTAAGGCTGAGTATGACCACCTGACGAGCGACCACAAACCAGGCAGCACTTCCAATGACTTGTTCTACTTGGCCGGAACCTATGAACCAACGACAGGCCAGCTGATCAGCGCAGACGGCATGGTCATCATGTCCTAGCACCATGGGCTAGAGGGGAAACCAAAATATTGACCTGATCACTTGAGGTCTAGGATGGTCCTTTAATGGAGGGTTGTAGACAGAGGCAAATCAAAAACAAACAATTTTAACTCAATCGATTTGCCGCGACAGAAGAAGGATCTAGCCTCTTGAATAAAGCCTTACAATAATGGCACTTAAAGGAGTCCTGTTTGTACTGAAGGAAATGCTGGCCTGTGCCAGATTTATCCTTTGAAGGAGGTGTGAACGGAGGCTCCTTGTCACATGGAGAGTATTCAGCCGTCCCTGTGACTATAACTGCAACATGAATACTGCAACACAAGAAGAGAAACCAAGAACATGAGCACTTTGGAGTTTAATAGTTTGAATGTTTTTTTGAAGGGAGAGCAACACACTTGGCTTTCTGAAACAAAGACAGAGAGCAGGAGAGACTAACTGGTAAGGAGAGACTTGTTGTAAACCACACTGGTTTGGATAGATGTACCGGTAATGGTCTTATACTTTTAGTCTGACTGAGATTGGGAGATCCCCTGATAGGACCAACAAACACTGTAGTTTGGACTTAAAATGCATCTATGTGTGTTTTCAGAGTGAATGGGATGAACCTGCTTAATGAGCTCTAAGTAAATAGTGCTTTAACATGTGTGTTTGTGCAGACTGTGCACACGTGTGCGCTCATCAACTTAAGACATCATGTCACGATACAGCATGGGTATGTTCCTGACACTCTTCTATTAACCAGTCCAGTACTTAACGTGTAGTTTTTAGCCATTGTGACTGAAACGCAGAACGTTTTTCTCCTTCTAAGCCATACACATCAATACCTCTCTCTCTCGTATCCTCTTGTCCAGGTGCGAAGACACATGTACAGGCAGTGTTTACGTGTGGGTGTGTGTATGTGTGGGTGAGTGTATGTGTGGGTGAGTGTGTGTATGTGCTTTGTACAGCATTTAGTGTAGAATGACACATTGTAAATATTATACATATCTATTTGTTTTTATTTCTTAAAAAAATTTTTTTTCAAAGAAGATTATTTTATTTTATGTTTTTTTAGGACAGGCAGGGGGTTGGGGCTCTTGCAGAGGTAGAATAAGAGGTTATGTTTCATTCTCTCTCAATGCACTGAATAGAATTTAAAGTTTGGTCAAACTCTGCGACTGATGTGATGACTTTGCGGTTGTAAACGTTAGTCTAGGCAAAAGCTAAATACGTAGAAATGGTTTTTGGGGTATGTTTTTCTACGGAAATCTGAAAAAATATTGTGTTCAGTCCTTTATTGTTTATTGTATTTTATTTTGTTGGGTTTAGAATGTGCATTTCCTGTCTTTTTTTTTTTTTTTTTAACAAATACTGGAAAAGCAAGCTTGAGTTTCTGCTTCATCCTAAAATAATCTAACTGTTGAGGGTGAAGAATAAGTCTTTTATTTATCTGTTTTTGTCTGTATTCCTATAAAAAAAATGTAGATATTTATCTGGCAACAAAAATAAACATACCAAAGCACCTGCTAGTTTACGCTAAACCACATTAGATGGGGGGAGGGAAGTGAAAAATTATGAAAGATTTTCAATCAAATCTGAATCCGGGACCCCTGCAATCACAGAGGTATTTGGTAGCGCTCCTCTTGTCCGCTCATGTTTATCCAGCGTTGCTATGATGGCCTCCAAGAAACGTTGCAGCAACATTGTCTACACGCTGCCCAGCTGATGCACTTGAGGTCTCTATGGCAACCAGAACAGCATCACGTGACTGTGAAGGACAATCAGAGCCAATCAATGGGACAATGCTGAGAGACAAAAAAAAAAAAAAAAAACAAGATAAAAGGATCAAATCACAAAATATGCTTCTTGTCACTTTTATTCATGCTTTGCCAAAAAAAAAAACTGTTTATTGTTTTTAATGTTTATCATCTTCTTGTTTATGCAAGCCAAGGATGACCGTCTGTTCAGTATACATGATGTACAGGAGAAAGAACATGGATGCCTTTTTTTTGTTGTTGCTTTTTTTAGGACTTTGACTGACTTTTAACAGCATCGTAGCAGTTACACTGCAAAGCAAAAGCTTTAAATGGAATCTAATGTGAAACTCCATTTTGAAACATTACTTTTATGGGTCTTTAAATGATTTTTTTAAAAGCTGTATTTTCTTTAAGAAACACTGGATTCCGTTTTGAACATCACATTTCAACAGGGGTAACATCGTTGTGTGTTTTAGACCCACTGGAACCTGCTTTGTATGGTTAAAATAGCCTACTAAAATATATTATGTAATTTCAGTCATTCTTTGGAAATATGACTTAAATATTTCCTCATGTACAAAAAGAAAAAAAATATTTATCTTAATTTTATTGCCTTTTGTGTTTCATTAAAAAAGATTCTTACAAAATAAAGCACGTCACTTGCCTTTTTTCTCTCTCTCTCGTTGGATGGGAGCTCTGTGAATGCTGCCTTGTGTGCATCAATGCTGATCATTTGTCAGATGCAAGAATTTAGACCGCAGAAGAAATCTGTAATGAAGAGGTGGGGGGGTGGAGCGCACTAGACAAGGAAGCAATCTGAAACTGTAGCTCTGTCTGACAGAAGGGGAAGAATTGTGAGGGAAAAGAGAAACTGTATCTTGTGGTGTTTCATGAGAGGAGACAGGGCTGGATAAGGTCTCCTCGGGCTCTTCAGGTGGGTCAGGTTTTCAGAATAATAAAAAACGGAACAGGACCATTAAGAGAACAAAGCAGGGGTGTCTGGTTTCACCCTGTGAAGTTTTCAAATCCTCACTCAGTGCATTCACACACTGACTGCACATACAGTATTTAAAGATAAAACGAAACTAGTAATTCTTTGAAAGGAGGCATATCGCTTGCTGCTTTGCATGCAAGTAAAAAAAAAAAGGTTTTGTGTAATCTATTCTTTCTTAAAGTATGTGTTGGGCATGACTCCCAGCTACTTTCACAACAAACTTTAGCTCAGTGACTTTAAAAATGTCTGCGTTGCAGCCATCAGTGTGTGGCATGGAGGCTGCACAGCTGCAGAAAGAAAAGCTTTGCAGAGAGTGGTGAAGGCTGCACAGAAGATGTTGGAGTCAGTCTCCCCACCTTCACAGACATCTACACCTCTAGATGCAGGAAGAGGGCCACCTGCATCATGAAGGACCCCACACACCCAGCACACACACTTTTTGCCCCGCTCCCCTCAGGAAGGAGGTTGAGGAGCATTAAGTGCAGAACCATTAGGCTGAGGAACAGCTTCTACCCTGAGGCTGTTAGACTCATGAATCCTCAGGATTATCACTGAAAATCACTGAATAATCCCTGTAATGCAACTTGGTTGTTGATGTGTGATGCTGACTATCCATGATGCTGATCTCATGCTGCTGATTTATCTCATGCTGCTGTGTTCATTTGTACTCATCTGCTCACACAGACTCATGTTCGTGCTGCTGTTGTTCGGCACATTGTTTTTGTACTTAGTGTATTCTTAGTTTAGTGTATTTCTTAGTTCATGTCTCTAATCTTACTACAGTTTTTTTCTTTACAATTTGTATTTTTGTTGGATGTAACTGGGACCCTGTGTTCATAGTTTCAATCCACCTCATGTACCACAGGTGATGTGAATGACAATTAAGAATCTTGAATCTTTAATCAGGGTCAGTTAGCTGTGGCGATCATCTTCAATCAGGTTGACTTTTTGTAAAATTCATTAAACTGTTGAGAGATGTTGCTAACAAACAGACAAAAATTAGACACTTATTTTAATGCCACCCTTTCATGGTGACAGGAAATACATTTAACTTCCGTGTGCTCATCATGTGTAAATCAGGAGCTAAGACAGGTTGGGATTATGGCCTGCAGAGCAGGAACTTTCTACAAAGTGTACAGCATTTTATTGCATTTTTTTAGACTTCCTGAAACACATTCACACCTTCTTATCATGCAACAACGGCCACCTTTGTGATATAGACTATTACAGATGTTTAGTCTACGCAGAGCGAACACCTTTGACCTGAATGCTTCGTGGCACTGCTCAAAGGAAGCATATGGTGCAGCGTTGTCTTGAACTTTGCTTGTAAACTTGATTTTTTTTTTTTTTTTATGGCAGCCGCTCCTTCGCGAGCTTTCTTTTTTCTTTCCTAGTCCTTTTTTTCCTTGTCATTACATGAAAACCTGACGTGCCTCATTTTTCAGCGTAACTTAACTAATGGTCCTTGGCGACCATTTAAAAAATGCACACACTCAGTCATGAAACGGCAACCTTTTTGTTCACTTCTATGCGTTTGCCTTTTGTCTTCTGCTTTTAACCATTTCGACAGTTTAGCAAAGATATGAAAGAGCTGCCACACACACACACACACACACACACACACACATGCCCCCATTTTACTCCCTGTAGGTCTTTTACATCCTCCTCATCGGCTCCTCAATCAACCACCGCCTTGAAAACACACAGTCATTTAGTGCAGTCTTTGACTCCTTATCAGTTGGTTTGCATTGGGCTTATCTGGTTGACATTGTTAAACTACTTTACCCAGAATGCCGCAGGAGATAGGGGCACAATGGTAGGCTGGAGGTGCCCTCTGGGTTAATGAGAGAGGCTTTTAGGTTGTAAGAGCAAACATGCTGCAAGCTGATTTGTGTGCACTGATGTGTGTATGTGTGTGTGTGTAAGAGTGTGTAAAGAGGTCAATGTGTCAGAGAAAGGTGTGGCAGCTGTTATCATTATTATGATTATTTTTTCCTTAGGGGAAGGGGGTTCTGTTGCAGGCTGGTGCAGAAAGACACAACATCTCATGCATTTCACTCAAAAGAGTGCATACTTTGCATTGTGTGTGTGTGTGTGTTTGTTTTAATGCTTGATTATGGAGGAGAACGAGAAAAACTGAGGTGGGGAAAGGCTAAACGGTGAAAGCTGCTGAACGGAGGAAGGAAAAGGGTGCGCACTTGTGTATGAAAAGTTGTACATGAGGGTGGGTGAGGAGGTGGGGGCTTTCCAATCCCAAGAAAGCCCTCTATTTAGATATAGCCAGAACATGTCACTGAAGGGAATGAATGGCTGTCAGCTGCTGTGAGATGCTACATGTGTGTGTGTGTGTGTGTGTGTGTGTGTGTGTGTGTGTGTGTGTGTGCGTGTGTGTGTGTGTGTGTGTGTGTTTCGGTCACTGTGAGAGCAAAGACATCAGCAGTCTTGTCTGCATCACCTCATCCATCGTTCACATGATCACTGAGCTCACTGCTCTGATCCATGTTACTGTAGGTGTGGGGGAGACAGAGATACTGTACATGTCCCTGCAGCCAATCAGACTCGCTGCTCAGCTCAGTATTTTGTGGCAACAGATGGTGAGCTTACATAAATCATGGATTCTTGGCAGAATGGAAGTCTTGCTCGTATTTTATTATACTAAAACATTACAACTCCAGCAAACCTTTGTTCATCTCTCTCTCTACTTTTATGACTTGTCGATTTCTGGCTCGTTATGTTAAAAATTTCTAAAGTAAATTTTAGGGATGCTCATTTTCCCACAGAGAAGTGGACCAGTGTAAATAAGGGGGGTTAAATTTTCAATAGCTGGGCAGAACGTTCACGAGTGCCTTGCCACTTTTAACCCTCTGCCATTTCACATGAGAAACAGGCCAACAATCACAACACAATAAACTTTATAATAGATGTACAAAAAACTTTAAGAACAAAGCACAGTAGAAAAGAGATAAACTTAAACATGTTAGAGGCTAATTTCACTCCTTTTTCCACTAACAGCTTATTTTGTTGCATGGGTTGTCTGAAAGCAAATCGGTCACAAAGTGCAGTAAAAAGAAGACAAATGAGTTTTCAAACAAAAATTTAAAGCATTCTTAAAGGATTTTCTATCACTCACTTCCTTT